GAAGAAGGAAATGGAGACAAGGAGGGAGAGGGGGGAGGGGGCCGCTCAGAGGGCAGAGGGTGGCGAGGTCGGAGCTTCGCGGGAGGAGGTCGCGGCCTAATGAGGGACGAGAGCGGAGGCGCCGCACAAGCGCCGGGTAATCATCTTCGCCCGGAATAGACGTGGCGGCATTTCCTTGCAGCCCACAATCGAAGTCAAAGTTACTGAAACGCAGAGACATTTGCGATAACAAAGAACCATTCCCTTCCTTCTAATGGCAGAAACAATAGCTTTCCGAAAGAAAAGTGTCTTCGTAAATGTGGAGACTTGAGCGAGGCGACAGGTAGTGATCCAAACAGCGAGCGGTTGGCGGTTCCTCGCCGAGCGTGATGCATGAGGCACAAACTTATAATTTCCATAGATATACTCATTGGAACGTAGAGATAAACACCGGGAAACGTTACAAATATGGAGAGAGAGAGGGTGGGACAGACAGATAGAGAGAAGGTGAGACAGACAGATAGAGACAGAGAGGGTGAGACAGACAGATAGAGAGAGGGTGGGACAGACAGATAGAGACAGAGAGGGTGAGACAGACAGAGAGAGATAGACAGAAGAAAAAAAATATATATATATACATATATATATATATATATATATATATATATATATATATATATATATATATACATATACATATACATACATATATATATATATATATATATATATATATATATATATATATATATATATATATATATATATATATATATACATATATATATATATATATATATATATATATATATATATATATATATATATATATATATATATATATATATACACATATATGTACACATACACATATATGTGTATGCATATATATATATATATATATATATATATATATATATATATATATATATATATATATATATATATAAAATATATATATATACATATATATATATATATATATATATATATATATATATATATATATATATATATATATATATATATATGCATACACATATATGTGTATGTGTACATATATGTGTATATATATATATATATATATATATATATATATATATATATATATATATATATATATATATATATGTATATATATATATATATATATATATATATATATATATATATATGTATATATGTATATATGTACATATATATATATATATATATATATATATATATATATATATATATATATATATATATGTATATATGTACATATATATATATATATATATATATATATATATATATATATATATATATATATATATATATATATATATGTATATATATATATGTGTATATATATATATATATATATATATATATATATATATATATATATATATAGAGAGAGAGAGAGAGAGAGAGAGAGAGAGAGAGAGAGAGAGAGAGAGAGAGAGAGAGAGAGACAGACAGACAGACAGACAGACAGACAGACAGACAGACAGACAGACAGACAGACAAACAGACAGACAGAGACACAGAGAAAGTATTTTCCCCCGACATTTCCGCAGTTAAAAATCTTCTACGAAATC